GCTCTAAGCGTTGACTAAGAAACTTGAGGGACTCATGATTCATGAAGCCAAACTCATTGGTGACCCAAATCTCAGGCTTTTCGCCACCTGCATTGCTCCCTTAATTGAGTCTACAACCAATATATAGGTAATTAAATACCATATACATGGTACCGGGCACTGACCCCTCATCACTCCCAAGGGCCAAACATCCCTTTCGCCCCGACCCCGTCCTGAGTCAGTGCCGGGCCATTTCGCCGCGCCGGAGCCAGTCGCTCCGCCCGCTCCGCCCGCTCCGCCCCTGGCGCGGAATAGGCCGGCGCACGTGGTGCACGAGGGCCCAAACCGCTTTGGGGTGGCCGAAGGGTGTGGGAAGGCCGAACCGGGCCGAAGCCGGACACGGCATGGGTTAGGTCCGATCCCGGAGGGATGAAGGAAGCGAGTCGAGAACGAGGGGGTACGAGCGAAGGGGTGGAGAAAGGCATGCACCACGTATACCAGTGCTTGGGCAAAGGTTCAGTTCCATGAAGAAGCTCTTCCTTCGCCTGATTTCTCCCATCTACTATCCAGGATGATGGTGCGGAGAGCTTGTAAAATCAGGAAGGCTACCAGGCTACCAAAGTAAACCAATGAAGGAAAATCAAGCCAATCACTTGGAGCTTTCGCCACATGAACGTGACATCCCCTATACAGCTTTGTGTTGTTTCTCTAAACCCTGAACCGAATGTTTAACCCTAACAGGATGTAGACCAAACAGAATGTAGAACCCTAACAGAATGTATAACCCTAAAACAAGCGATTGTTCTTCATGTTTGTGTTGTTTCTCTAAACCCTGAACCGAATGTTTGGGAACCCTAACAGGATGTAGCCCAAACAAATGTAGAATCCTAACAGAATGTAGAACCCTACAACAAGCGATTGTTCTTCATTTTTGTGTTGTTTCTCTAAACCCTGAACCCTAACAGAATGTAGACCAAAAGCTGTGGCTCCCTGCTTCTGTGTTCTAGCCAAGTTCCACTGGAGGGGAGTTTGCGACGCTCCATCGGTGCCTTCATCGGTTGGGCCAGGGCCCACCAGCATGTTTTCCGCCTTGCAAACGCCAAACCACCACTGAACCCACGCGCAAGAGCTTGGTGGAGGACGAGGATGGTGGCGCTTCGCTTGTTCACAAGTGGTCCGCCCAACTACTACCAGTATCAAAGCAGTTTCTTGCAGATGGAAGAAGTTATATATAACTTACAAAAGACCGGATTCTCAAATGATGGTTTACATGCAGCGTGGTCAGAAAAGCCTTAGGAGGGAGCATCTGTCTCGACATTGAAGCTTCCCTCTCTCGGTCAATGAATCACACAAATGGAGAGTGAAGTCCTGGGGAGTGATGTCCCGAACGCTCTCCACCCCCCAGGTGTGACCGCAAACTGCACCCTGGCCTCCTGCATGAGCTTGGTCGCACCCTTTTCAAAGGCCTTTTCAGCCTTCTCCAGGTGTTTCTCCTGAGGCGCAAGAGTGAGACTTGGTGGAAAGCTTGGGGAATGATCGGGAACTGATTGAAGGAAACGGAGGTTTAGGGGTGTCGAATGTATCCCACAATGGAGATCATTTCATGTTCTATGCTGATTGTTTCCAGCAGGAAACCAGCTCTAAAACACTTGGCCTTTGATCCCCTGGGGCACCAGCTTCTTCACACATGCATCATGTGTCACATATGTGCGTAGTGCAATGCTCCAAATTGACCCCCAAGCAATGGGTCATGGGTCTTCTGGGGGCTCTGACTGTTTCTCTTCAACAGCGCATCTCGTTGAAGTGGTCTCTCCGCTCGGTAAACGTCGAAGAGAAAACGCACAACCGGCTGAGTTCAGGACGGCTTTCTGCCACAAGTGCTGAGAGTTCTTCTTCGCCAATCGTCGAGCCTGCCGAAGAAAAATAAACACACACACACACCCAGGTTCCACAGCGGTTGGGTGAAAGAACGGTCAACAAAATTGAGCAAACATACACATTTCATTCGCAAGTAGGCGGGGTGTAAAGGGTCTTGCCTCAGAACGTGTTGCGCATTTTGAACCACACCCAACTGAAGCCCATTTAAAGCCCTTCTATCTTCATCCAGGTCATTCTAATCACTGAAAGCCTTTTCCAATATGTTGTTTATATAAAACCAAAAAGTAACCTGGATTCCTTCATCAAACGAACATTCCTCCATGCATAAGGCAAGTAAAGGTAGCATTATATAACAGGTAGCATTTGGATTTGGACTAGTTTTGAGAAAAGACTTAAGTTACTGCAGCAGGGGCTGCACGAAAGGTCGTCAAGGTTGAAGGACAAACCGTAGCAAAAGCAGCAACAGCAGCAGCAAGTGGCCAGCCAAGCAGCAGCAGTGAACCGGCAGGAGACCAGCAGCAAACTAGCACTAGCAAACAACCAACCGCAGCAGCAGCACCTGACATTATCCCACTTCAAATCATCCCCCAAGATCCCCCAAGTGATTGTAGTGTCACACTCGTCACTGTATCCATTTCTTATCTCAATAGAATGTATGCCACGCTGAGCTGAATTCATGAAAGCGCTTGGCGCTTGTCATCTTTGTTCTGAATGTTGGATGTCAATGAACATGTTCTTGCGTTCTGCTCTTGGATAGGGGTGTTCCATGTAAGACAACAACAACAACAACAACAACAACAGCAACACTAAAATTATCTGCGTTGGATATGTTATCATTCTATATATCTTATGTAGTATTGCTGTACATCTTTGTTGGTTTCGTACTCTTGAGTCCTGCATGTGTCCATCATAATTAGTGTTCGTTCACTTGTGTTTGTTCAGGTCTTCTTTAAGTCTCTGGTCTTGGTATATATTTAAGCTGAAGCTGCTGGCCCTAATGCCTTTAACTTGATGCTGCTGATCAAGTGGGAATTCCAACACCTCTTACAAGGCCCAAGGCAAGTTCTTTGTCGATTTATTGGTGATGTCTGCTCCGAAGCTCTTTCGAATGAAGATCAAAGCTTTGTTCTTCCAGTCCTGACCATGTGAAGACCCTGTGGTTTTGTTATCAGTCTGCTGGAAATGGTTTCCCCTGTGTTCCCCCTTTCTCTCTCCATTGTTGAGTTGCCTGAGTCCTTGTCTGTTTTGTTTAATTTAAGCTAAGACACTCTCTCTGGAAGACAGAAAGGTATACGGTATATGGTCTAAAACAATCTGCTGTGACTGCGTCTCCGCTTTGCCATAATATACCCAAAGGAAAACTCAGGGCGGGTTCTCCAAGATAAGTGGGGTTTCCCTTGGAAACCCGGGGTTTGCGGTTTTCGTCGCTCTTCAGCTTTCAGCACGCGCGGGTATCGAGAATTCGGTTCAGAAGATTTGTGTCCTTCTCTCACTGACACACAAAAGTCAGTTAATCTGAATTCCAAGAACTCGACACTTTTTCTTTACGGGCTTTCACGGTAAAGCACAGGTTTGAGAACACAGGGTCTACAGCAAATACCGAGAAAATACTAGGAAATCACGGGTTGGCACGGGTCAATCATGAGGGTTGAAATTAGCACAAACAACCACCTCAACGAACAATCAAGTCAAGCATTGAGCATGTGAAAGACTAGACGGGGGATTTGGAGGACGGCGAAGCCATTGAGCGCACAAGATGAACCGGGTGTGGGGAGCAGGGTCGATCGTACTTTTTTCGTCTGGCTCGCAGGCGGTTTTGCTGACGGCGTTTTCGCATCTACCACACCTCGATCTTTCGTGGATGCTTAGGCTTGGAAACACGGAGACACGCGAACTGCCGTCTTGCAAAACCATTTTGGAGGAGAAAGCGAGCAGCAAACTCAGAGCTGCTTCCAAGCGCCCACAAACGAGGAGTGCTGTTTGAGTTGAATATGTTGCCAAATTCATCTTTTAGTTGATCATGCTGTAACAGTACTTCAGCTTTAGTATTCAACATATATAATATTCAAATTATATTCAATCAAACATGCTGGAGGTCTGGCAGCCCAGCACGTCAACAAGTTCAAACCATGCTTTTTGATCGTAAAAGGCGACTCGACCAATGTGCCTTGAGTTCATCAGCAGAACGCATTTTGTGTGTCGATGTGAAACCTTCAGCCATTGAACCCATTGAAGTTGTGTTCCAATTGAAGTTGTGTTCCAATAGAAGCATTTAAAGACTGTTTCCGTTGGTGAAGTTGTGTTGGGGTCAAAGCTTCTCCAAGGCATGGCCCCTGGGGCCACTGCCAACAAAAAATAGTTTCTTATATTGGAACAGAATATGCCCTTCGCCTGCTTCAGAATAGACTTCCGGGGTAACACGCGTTTTATCAATTTTACACTAATTCACGGAGTTTGTCCACATACCCGACAAAAGTTAGGGTTCAGGTTGGCGGGGTGGCGGGGTGGCGGGGTAGGTACATAATTGTGCATAAAACATATTACATTATATGTTTCTTTGAAAAATCTTTGAATGGGTGTGATATACTATATTTATTTCCTTGAGAACTGAGAATTTGAATTGGATGGTTGAGATCGCGGTTAGCGTTCAGCATTGAACTGTCCGTCGTTCATTCTCAATGTCGTTGTCTTCTGTCTTTCTGCTCGTGCCTCTCTCTCTCATTAAATATTGCTGATATTGAGGTGACCAAGGCAATGATGAGCCCTGCATTGAGGAGTGCTACTTTTCATCCCAAACGCCTTGAAACCACTGCGAGAAACCACATCATCACGTCGCCCTTGTTTTCGACACGTCGCCCTCCGAGTCTTCCGACCGAAGTGTTTCACAGCCTTCGGATCCAGCTTCTCCGCGGGCAAAAAAGGAGTTGTCTCGTGCTTTTCTCCATCAGTGAGTCAGCAAGTCCCGGGTACATGATCCGAGGAACAACAAACGACCTAAGGATTTCACCTTGCATAGAGCTCTGAAGCAAGGATTTGAATATGCTTTAACCAACATTCCTTGGAGAAAAGAAGCCCTATTATCTTTGATCAAGAGCCTTCAGAACTATATATATCATTATAACATTATGTATGTGGATGTATGTGGTCAGACTGGCAATTATCGGGCCCAGCTGGCTCACTGAGATGGTCTCAAGAGTCGTCGGATCCTGGATGTATCTGTACACCTGTGGTGTTCAAGGACAGAAACACAAACGTTTTGCCTGTGAATCGTCCACCAGAACTCCCACTGTTTGAATTGGAACAGCCGTCAACCCTCCAGCAGCGGACTTCCGGGAACATACAGCTCAGCTCCCTTGTCAATGAGCTGCGCGGATGCGCTGATCTCCCTCATCCATTCGTATGCACTAAATTTAATCTTGACAGTACATACAACCATCACATCATGCTTGTCGCCATCGGCACCCATCAACTCAGGTGTCAAAACCTCCTGGAACGTGGTGTCCGGAACGGGGATCTTTTCGACATAGCCGTCTTCGATGCCCCCGTTGGCGTCCTTGTACACGTACACATTGAGCTCATCGTGCAGCTGGTAGTCATTGATATAGGCCCTGTTGTGAAAGTCATATTTCTCTGACCGGTAAAGTTTGCACGTAATCGTCTTGTCCTGAGTCTCATTCTTCATAAGCATGGCCAACATAAAGTCACCCGGCCAATCACGAGTATGCCATGGTAGCTCACAAATGACTCTGACTCTGATGGAGTGGCCTCCTCCTTTTTCTGGGACAAACTCATGAGCTTCTTTTTCTATTGCTTCGCCTTTGCAGCACTCCATGGGGCTGTTTGGGCTGGAGCGGGCACAACAGGAGGGAGCCGAAAGCTGTCTGCAGTGAATATGAATATATTACACTCTGACACACTCACATGGAAGTGGAACATGCCCCTTGGAAGACTACTTTCCTCGACCAACAGGGGGTTTTCCACTTCCATGTTAGTGAGCCTGAGGGTGCACTTCATGCGTCGTGTCAGCGGTCATGCGAGCCAAATCCCCCAGTCGCGGCGCCCAGTCGCTGAAGAAAAAGATGGTCACAGTCGAAGCCGAAGCAAAGAATGATTGGCGGAACTTGAGCCAAGCCCACAAATCAGAAACATCCACCACATCAATGTGGGAAGACCACCATAAGTCCCAAATCAGGTGCGCCAGCGCAAACCTCCCACACTGGTGTTTAGTAAAGAAGGCCTCAAGTAGCTGAAAGCTACCTGTCATATCATGTCGTATCCTATTAGAAACGCCACGGAACTGGCATGGTTGATGGGATCGCGTGGCTGGCGCCACCCAACCCGCCGAGGTCGGAACCTTCTCGAAGTCCGATGACATGGCCTCGCATGGGGGCCAAACCACGCGGAAGGGAACGAAGGTGAAGGAACTGAGAAGCGGATAAAGCTCTGCTTTGGCCAAGCCAAAGCAGAATGGCCACTGCTCATGCTCCCCAAAAAACCTGACCCTGGTCACTCATTTGCACAAGGGGGTAGTCATCGCAAGTCGGTTACTCCGGTTGTTCAACATGTTGGACCTGGTGGCGATGTGTGCCATCCACCCCACCGTCTGGCCTTGGTGAAGGAGCTCCAGCCGTCCTTGGGCTTTTCGAAGCAGCGGGCCTCCACCTCTGTGGCCAACATCCGGACCTGGGACATTGGTGACATCTAGTGGCATATGAAGCATGTCGGCGCCAGCCTGGCAGAAAACAACTCAAAAAGAACACCAAACAAAACAACACGCTGGCGCCGACTGCCGACCGCGGTCTGGCGGGTTCTTCGTCTCGCGGGGCGACCGCGGTCCGTGTGATCCGAAGAGATGGAAGAAAAAGCCTCGAGCTGGGCCCGCGGCATTCTCGTCCATGGCAGGGCCCAGCTCACCCCCACGGGTTTGCCGCAAAGTCTGGGCCGGCCAAGGCGCGAGATCAATGGATGGTACCCTGACATATACACTCTGCAGTCATTGGGGCGTCCTCCAGTCAACCCTCTTCTTTTGACTGGAAGGCTCTAGTTACTCTAGTCACTAGAGGACTGGAGGTCTTGGTTCAAGTTGCGACTCTCCAAGACTCAGTCAGCCCTAAGGGAACTATCAATAATACTCATCCTGGAAGTTACAGTAAGGAAACACCCGTCGAGAGACTCCAAACTGGTTGGTTGACGTTCGAAACGAACCGAGTAAAGTGTGATCTGAGGAGTTTTTCTGAGTACTTTTCGGCTCAAGAAAGTCGGGTGAGGGCCAAACTGCCCTAAATCCAACTCATTCCAACACCCTGCTTAAGCCAATCTTCAGCTTGAAGCAGTCTACTCGCTTGCTTTCCATAGCCGCGTACTTTTCACTGAAATGCAGTTTCATCCACCTGATCTTACCTAGACCATTTCAGTGCCAGAATGCACCAAACTGACGTCTAACCATGCTTCAAGAAAGTCTTCCAACTTTGTTGTCCTCAATACCTCATGACCACTTCAGTATCTGAGCAACTCCTCATGGCTCCACCACACCATTGAACGGCTGCAAATGTCCATTCAATGGCCTACCATGGTGAATCTGGGGCTGAGTCTTGTATTGAGTTGCTGAACATCTTCAACCAGCCCAGAGATGCTATAGGCCTAGGCTCAACCCTGGATGAGCCTCCAAGGCTTCGCGCAAGCCCTCGGCCAAGGCCAACTCCTGGACCTTGGCTGTCCGTGCGAAACATCTTGACAACTGCAGAGTTGAAGACTTTTTTGACGTGACATACGTGACCCAGTTTGGAGCCACAAACGTGGGATGGAATGAAAAGAATATGATGGCCAAAGAATTCCAAAGAGTTAGTGGGCAATGCAATTTTTCCAGTAGGACCCTCATCTACCACCTCCGCCCTGCACATTCCGTGCAAGTGATGGCTATCTTGGCCATGGTCTGAGAACAACATGTCAAGACATTTCACGTTGCTCTATCTCCAGCATCTCGACCAAGCTACAAAAGCCAAACACATCTGTGTCATGTATATGTGTGGCTATAAAGGTGGCTAAATGAGTGGTATGCACAAATCAACTGTGCCAAAAGAAAGACATTGCACGACACCATGAGTCGGTCCAAGCGTATACAAGTATCACTATCACCCCAGCTTTCTGGACGTTCCGATTTGAAGCCATGGAAACTCTTTTGTCTCCAAACTTGGCGGATTCGTATGATCTGTAGCTTGCTCACCCACGGCCAACCGAAGCCTACTTCTGCGGCTCCAGACTGCCCGGGGGTTGTACAGCATCTCGTTGGCCTTGGCGTGGCACACATGTCAAACCATCCAAACCAACAGAATTCAGTTCTACTGCAAATCCTGTGCTGACTAGACTGTTATCTGGTTTCTTCTGTACTGTTCCGTCGAGCCCAAAACACAAACACCCAAGAACCTAAGAGGCGCCACCCAGCGGACTGCTTTCCTCCACGTGCCGTCAGCCCATGCACCAGCGGACTGCACTCGGTCAGCGGGGTCAAAGGGCCCGAAAGTATTGGTAGGTCGAGCTGCTGCCCAGCAGCTCAGCAGCTGATACCCTTAGACCCCCCTGGGAAACAGAAGTTAACATGGTTTAAACCTGTTTCTTTGAGTGGGGTGACCAATCCCCCCAAACAAGGTTCAAGGTTACCATAGGTTATACCCACTTGTCCGGGGTAGCGCAGTGCATTCTGTTAGTTTATGTTGGCCAGCGTGGGTCAACTATGGTCCCGCCTGTGGTCACCTGAGTCACCTGTCGACCCATATATCAGTCCTATTCAGTTCTGTTGACCTATGCGTTCTCGCCAAAGCTAGCACAAAAGAAACAAAAAAGGACCGGGTATACCAGGCCTTAAGCTTTGGAATCCCATAGGACGCTCTCTCCGGGACCAGAGTGCCACCAGCACCGATGAGATCCACGTCCGCCGTTCCGCCGGGAGGCAATGGTGAGGGCTTTCAGCTTCACCTTGGACAAAGCAGCTGCGCCACGAATCGTGCCACGAATCGATGTGTTCACAGGTTCTGATTGGTTCAACGGGTATACAATGACTGATTGGTGCAACCACTGGCAAAACATGGTGAAACCATATAAAACCCATAGGTTACTCCATTGGTAAAACCATTCATTGTACCCCAAATACTGTTTGGAGGTCCTACCCCACCCTGGGAGCCCTGCACTCCTGGCCGAACATTCTCCCGGCGTCATTTCCGCGTCGCTACACTACACAGCCCAAGCGGAGCAAACATGGCACCCAAAAAGTTGATACCAAATATACTGTGTACTCTTTCAAATCCTCTGTGCCAATCTCTGACCACACAATGGCCTTCCAAAACATATTGGTATCAACTTCAAAAGGGTGACTAACACATTGGGCGGTAGCAAACGGGAAGTTATACAACAGGACTAACATAATTAACACATGTTCGGGAACCCATCCGTTCTTGGCATGTTAGAATCTCTTGGGTCTTGAAGTTGTATTCCATCGGTCTGAGGCCCTGACCCGCAGCGGCTGCCTACGCAAGGCATATTGGTTCTGTGTTTGTCTGTGCTCATTGCGTTTGGCCATGTCTGGGTCTGCCAGTCTCACCTTGAAAAAGACCGATTGGAAGGGGAACGTAAATGTTCAGTCATAAACAGTGGATGATCACCCCTGCTTGGAGCTCGATGTAGATGCCCACTCATCTGATCTCATCTGTATTTTGCCGACATCTGAACCAAGTGGACCAGTTCCAGCGTCAGGCTCCAGCAAATGGAATATGGACGACTGTGCCGCCGCAAAATATGACCATCGTCTAATCATGTCTAATCTCCTATCCACTTGAGGACAACGATCTCTTATATCATTGGGCACCACCCTGTGCTAGTGGCTGATTGTTGAAGGCCTCAACAAGACGAATTGACGGAACAAACCCGTCCCCCAGGGTGGATTGAACACCTACACCTGCTGGGAGGTACTAACGTCTATTGACGCAGCAAGTCGTTGGATACCAATTTTGTTCCATAGCATCTCAAGTTCCCTGTATTCTGGGCTGTTTCGTTGAAACTATCCCCCAGCTGGCCACATGTGGAGGACTGGAGGACGGCATAGCTCCCAAGGCACAGTATCACGGCAAGGACAGCTACAGCAACCCACGCAGCAAGGTCGTTCCCCACTTTCTGGACATGGAGTCAGCTACCCTTGATATATGCGTTACCTATCTACTTTCGAGTGGCTTAAGCACAAGCACGCAGCAGTTGTCCGAGGCTTCTCGGTGGCGGAAAACCTCACGCGTCCACAGGTGAGCAACACCTCCCCCCGCGTTGTCATCAAATACGCTGCTGGTCATGACAGTAGCGACATGGCAAAATGGCAACATGTACTGGACTATAGAGTTTGTTGGTTCATGTTCCATGTCTATGTCAAGTGTTTCACGGCTGTATTGTATGCATCCCATGGAATTAGTGTGGGTACTAGTGTCGGTCTGTTCATGATCAGTCATGTCGATTTGCTGATGAATACCTCCATATACCCCGCACAGGGAGATACAACATGATGTCTAACCACTTCTGTTGAAGAGGTTCATTACAGTATCTACTACACTGTGGCTCACTAACATGGAAGTGGAACAAATGGGCCCTTGGAAGACGCGATGCTTTCCTTTACGAACAGGAGGTGCGTTTTCCACTTCCGAACACCGGTCGAGTCCCACCACACGTCCCGGTGGTTCGTCCCTCCGCTGGTCTCGGCCTCGGATCCTTGAGGGCCTCCTTCAGCACCGCGACGGCACCCTTCAGCTCCCCAGGCTGCATCTCCAGCCTCTCCCGAGGCGGAGACGTGCGGGTGTCGCGCGGGCTAAGACGGAGCCGGAGGAGAGGGGGCCCGCGGGTGAAATGCCGGAGGTATTTGAGCGGAAGATGGTGGTTTGGTAGAAGCTATCCTATAGGTCTATAGGGCTAGTATGGGCATTTGTTTCGCAGGAAGATTTGCTTGGAGTATGAACTGCAACGCTATGGGCGCACCCCTGGTTTGAGTTTTCGTTCTCAGAACTCCGAAAAAAATTACGAGACTTGGGTGCGAGAGTGTTGCAGGTCATGGTAGCAAAGATGCTGGTAAAACCAAAATTGTGAGAAAACATTGGAAGTCTTTCCTTGATTCAATCTGATCATGACATCTCCTTTGGATCCTTGAACGCTACCCTCCCTGCAGCAGCCAACCTTCTCTGTTTTAACGTGTTCATATTGCTTTCGGAACCTCTCAACCACTCCCCAAAAACAGTCCAACCACTGATTGGGAAGCGCAAATTTAAAAGGTACAT